GCTTCTGCATCGCCAGTGGTAAACGAGATGAGGAAATCAGCCTCGCTGGCCAGCGTCTTGGCTTCAACCTCCCGTCTCACCTGCCAACCAACGGGCTTCCACTTTCGCAACATCTCCAGCCGCTTCTTCGTTTCCGGGTCCCCTGCTAGCTGGTCGGCTCTCTGGTAATCTGCCTGGTAGTCCTGGTCGTCTTGATGTGCTCCAGGAGTCTGCATCAACTCCTTCGCGATACCACGGAGGTTGTACGCCTCGGCGCTTGTGGGGAGAATCTTGATGGCCTCGGTGAAGTAGCCAACGGCCCGCAGGGGCTCGTCTGCACGCAAGCATTCCCAGCCACGGGCGAGGGCTTCCTGGGCTTCCTCGTTCTCTACCTTCGCAAGTTGCCAGGCTGCGCCAGCAGAGTTGCAGACAGCGCTAGAGGAGGCTAATCCTGGACCATCGCCGGAACCTAGAGGCTGCCCCAAGTCTGGGGCAGCGGCGCCCGTCGCAGGCTGCTTTTGCCCGGACTTGAGGCTTTCGCACGAGGCGCTTGCAGCAGCACTTGAGGCGCTGCGGCCCAGCAACCGTGGCAGGCCGGTTGGGTCCTCATCCGCTCCTCCACGGCTGAAGCTGACAGCCAAAGGCGAGGCAACCTCATCGTTGTTCGTGCAGGCAGTGGCTTCTGCACTGCCGCAACAACCCATGGCGTCGGCAAACACGGGAATCCAAGTGCTCCTAACGTATCAGAGTCCTGCATGCGCCATCTCTGGAGTGTGCTAGGGTGACAAAATCTGGAACTCATTTTCCTTGCTGTCTAATCTGTACAAAATGCTCTTGACACATGTCTGGTAGATCACCTGGCTAAGACTACTGAGACGCTCCCATCTCCGCAAAGGCATTCGCGTGCGATCGCTTCTTTCGAATGAATCCTAAACCCTGGTAGCCCCCCCAAAGCCGAATTCCAGCCGAATCCGAGCCTCGAGCGATGTCTTCTCGCGGGCCACCGGGCCACCCACGGGCCTGGCCAGCTTCCCGCCAGCGGAGGCTTGATTTCGGGGATGCAAGCATGGGGAACCTCGAGGTAGAGGGCATCTTGTTTCCCTTTGAAAAACAGTACTTTCGATGGCGGCTCGACATGTCTTCAGCCGCCCGCAATATCACTTCACATCCCCACAACAGTGTCCTCGCTCCTCCCCCCCCCCTCCTCTACTCTTGGCCCTACAACAGCACCCAAAGATTTAAAACGGGCACTGGGATGTCCCGGCACACTTCTTGTGGAGCACAGGACAAGCCAACAAGGGCGTCTCACAGTCCTGTTCTGTGGGATTGCGTGCTTTGTGTTGCGGTATGACGTCTATACTCCTCACACTCGTAACCCCACAAATCACTCGCCGAAGGTGAGCAGGAAGAAAAACCCACATGTAACCCAAAGGGAGTGACATAGGGATGATTCTGCTACATCTTATGCGGATTCCACCCTGTGCTGGAAGGGATGCCCGGCACAATGCCTTTGGGTTAAGCGGCAAGTTAACTAACAGAGTTCTCTGTCCCTACTGTCATTGGGTCGTGTTCCCCCCCTGCCCGATGAACACACCACATAGTGGGGAGCGACTTGGGAGAGGGTTTCTCAAGTAGACAACCCCACTTGTAGCCCCAAGAAGTCCACTTGGCCGGGATCCGGAAAACGTATAGCACATAAGGGTACGATACATAGCCGAAGGTTGGGAGGAGCGGACTGTAACTGGAATTTCTGAAGAACAACATGCGCCTTCCACTACAAGCCGGCCCAATCCTTGCCAGAACCCCACTTATGCCTGGGCTCACGAAAGGTTCAGCAGCTAAGGTCGTGGCTGTAGGCTAGGGGCGCTCGGGCGGAAGTTCAGGCCTAAGGGCTCAGGNNTGCTCGAGGGCCAACTGCCTCCAGGTCATAGTCCGACAGTTCTTTGACCATTGAGCTGGTGGCCATCAACAAAGCCAACTGTTGACCTGGCATCCAGAGGAGACCAGCGAGGACTGGAGAGTCGAACGCTCCAAAAGATCATCGTGGCACGTGCGCTATTTCCGCTCAACAAATCCCAAATCCTAAACCACAATTTTGGACAGAAGAGACAGGAAAAGCGGCAAGTTGGCAAGCTCCAGGGCACAGAAGTACCATTTTCGAAAACTACCAAGATTCCATGGCCTATTTCCTGTGAGACTGCAAGTGGGTGCTGTGGGACTTTGCAAGGGGAGCTGGACTGTTTGGGCTGTAGGGATTCCAGTGAACCATGGGCCAATGTCCGGCATCAGTGAAGAAAAAGCCCACCCGGGCGGCGGGGCCAGAGCGGGAATCTAAACGTCAGCAGGGATCTCCACGAAACGCGCAATATTTTGGCTCATGACTCATGACCACTACGGTGAGTGAACTTGCGGTGCCGCCAAGACGCCTCTATTCGGGAGGGTATGGTGATTCGCTGAGTCTCAGTGCGGTTGCCAGCCTATGACCTCATACTGCTGTAATAACTGCAAAACCAACATACTGAATCTCTCTTGCCTGGCTCCCAGACCCACTGACCCTGACCACAGTTCAATCAAAGACCGTGGCCCCGCGTGCCTTCGTTAGCTTCAGGGTTTTCGCTTCAGGCGTTGTACGACATTGAAGGGATCTTGATGCTCCATCCTTCCACATGCTGTATGAATCTGATCCAGGTCTATAGACTAGAGTCTTAGCATGTCTTAGCCTAGAAACTTCAATGCTGAAAGCCGAAACCCGAACCATTTGCGGTATACATTCGGTTCGTCACCGGACGTGTCTCACTCTGATCCCTGTGCTGAGCAGCGTTGGATGGTCCGAATTGCAAGGTTGGGGCAGCCTTGAGGATCCGGATGTAGTCCATGGGCTGGCCCAGGCTGGCCTTACCTGGAAGAGACGAACAAATTCTGGCAGGGTTTGGGGGTTTTCTGCTCTCCGTTACCGGCTGCAATCTGCGCATGCCATATTTCTGTGCGAGGAATCAGGATCTATTTCCTGTACCGGCCCCCTTCACTTGCGTTATGGATTTGTGGGTGTGGCGGGATCTGGCATGCCCCATG